ATATAAGGTCGCTGTGAACTTAAAGATAGTCTTATTCAATTTATCAATACAATGATTGGTTTCCCATGAAATTGAGTTTGAAATAAGTATATTGAACTTCTTCAAAGAACTTTCATTATTAGTTTAGTGATAAAAATAGACTAAGTCTATTCTCTAAGGTTGGGTTATGATTTTCAGTGCTTTGTATGTATATAGTAGCTATATCGTTTGTGTTTGAAATCAATGTGGAAATTGATAAATAAGTAGATACTCTCTTGTTCATTTTTTTTAATGGGACAATCCCGCTACAACCTCCCAAGACCGCTCCAACTCTTGTTAGCCAGGATCTACAGTAGATACAACCATGAAAACACCGGAACACTGTCCCAGGAACATGAATTACTGTCATGGTTCGGTACTCTCTTGTTCATATCTACTAAATGTACTGTTTTTAAGAAAGTTGTTTGCGCGACTCGCCATTTCGTTTCTCACGCACTGCTGGTCATGACTATGAGCTCCTAGTACAGTTTGAAACTGGTCGAGCTACCTCGTTAAACTGTTATGCAAGTAAAACCGGGAAACTGAATTAATTAAATATTTCGCTATCTTACGAGACTTACGTTCGAGTACTGATAGGCTACTCAGTTTTAAGTTGTACTTGAATATAGTGCCATCTTTGTCATTATACAAGGAATTTGCAGCGACAGAACTATACTCAAGCTCGTCTTTAATCTGCGTGGCGTCTGAGTATTGACAAAAAATGGTATTCAATGGTACATGACTGCCTCGTTGGCCGAGTGGTCGCAAGTGCGACAGCCGGGCAAGGAGTCTCGGGGTCGATTTTTTTTATGTTATAAGCCAGTAGACGAGCAGACGGATCACCTGATGGTAAGCAATCGGCGTCGCCCATGGACACCTGGAACATCAGAGGTGTGTTATCGGCCTTTTGGGGATTAGGAGTTTGAGAATCGTTGGGGATTCAGGAATTGGGGAGATTGGGGAAGGGAAGGGTAATTGGGCCTTCTGGTTTTTTATTGGGCTATCTGGGTTTTAAAAAAAATCTCAGTAGTAGCACGGAGTCTGGAATTGTGCCCGGTATATGGCAATAGGCGCACCCCCTATTACATGGGACTCATAACATAAATAGTGAAAAGTGGGTGTTACATTGTACAGTGGCACAATTAGCACCTCTGGCTACCCCTTCTAGGATAAAAGGCGCGATGTTATGTTATGTGGTACATTTCTATCACCTACCTTGACTAATATTTCAGAACAAAGAACTCAAATGCAGAGCGGCAATATGTTACAATTTTCCGTACATGTGAATATTCGTCCGGTCAACACTTATTGTTGCCGAGATGGCGACGTATACCGTCATATATTATACTGTGAACAGTTACGAGACAATTGGGCAAAGTCTTTTGTCCGTGGAGGGTACTGGTACTGGGGTAGACAGAGATAAAGAAGCGTAATCAAAGCGAACTCGGGCCGATCTCGAACTGAGAGTGGGTGACACTGGCGTCCTGTGTGGCTATGGAAAATATGCGAGCGAGTTTTTGTTGGATTTTCTTTCAATTTCCTGACGGCTACATCCATAATAACTTCCTTAATAATACCTATATGAAGGAAGTTATCATCATCTTCATGAGCCTAACGACCACTCCTAAGCATAAAAAAAATGAAAATGGGTAGTTTCCAGGGTAGATATCGAAATTAAAAATCTAATTAGTCCGTCAGTTAGATAATGAAAAAATATTAGTCACGTGTTTTTTTCTTTTCTCGTATTAAGGTTTTTTTTTATTTATTTTTTTTGTTTTATTTTAAGTTGCAATACTTTTTTTTATGGAATAGGAGGCAAACGAGCAGACGGATCACCTGTTGGTAAGCGATCAGCGCCGCCCATGGACACCCGCAACACCAGAGGAGTCACAGTACTTAGATAAAATAGCGCTAAGTTTAGAAGTGGGTGGTCGTTACGTCATAATGTGTTACAAAATGTGACACGCTGTGACGTCACACGATATTTGAAATTAATATATCGTCGAAAGTATAAAATTTTTTGAGAAAAGAAAAAATACGTGTGTAAAGTTTTTAATTAATGTACCAGACGGACATTGAAGTAAAATTTAGGAAACTACCCTATTCAAAGGATGTAGCCAGCGAAGAAGAGATGTCGAATGCTGACGCAGTTTTAGAACACACTAATTATTCTTTAACTCGTCGAGTACCGGTTTTGTAGACACAATTATAAAATAATAGGTTGCGATCACCGGTGACCGCTTGCTGTTTGACAGTTTAAACCATTTTTTTCTGAATGTCGATATAGTTGCAATCTATTCATTTTTGCTAGAAAATAAGTAAGAAGAAAGAAATATCATATCAGTAATGAGCCACAAACGACCTCTAAATCGGACGGTTAGGAGTGACTGGCCTTCAACGAAATCTTACTAATATTATAAATCAAAAAGTTAGTGTGTGTTTATTACTTAAACACGTCAAAACAGCTAAAGGGAACGACCTCACAGAAAACCGACGTGAAAGAAAGCTTGCGTTGAGTTTCGTCGTGTGCGTGAGGTTACCGGAGGCCCAATTATTACCTCCCCTCCCCTATCTCCACAATCCCCGAATCCTCCACATTCCTCAAATTCCCAATTCCCAAAAGGCCGGTAACGCTACAAGTGCGTTACCGGCCTTTGTGTCCATAGGCGGCGCCGATAGCTTACCATCAGGTGATCCATCTCCTCGTTTTCGTTTACCGGCTTATGCCATGACAAAAATGGAAAAGGTGGAAATTTTTAAAGAATATTAACGTTATGTTTCTATAATACAGTCTTAAACTCTTTCTTTGTGGCCACAACTTTCATCCCCCGGCCGTCTCTCATGGTTTTCAGTTGAATGTCGCGCCCGTGTCAAAGCAACATACCGCTCGCAGATTTTTGTACCTTACGACGCGACGTATCAAGTACACTGTACAAGTACCAAGTCTTAAGTGCAGTACCATTTCAATAGCTGTAATATATGTAGTTCTTATTTTGTAAGAAATAAAGATCAATTTTAATGTTGATTGTAGGATTTCTTGTTTATTGTTAGTTGTATTTCTCAAAGGTGTATAAAAAAGTTCAAAATTTCGTAACGATTCTGCTTTTAAAACATTCATGTTTGATTTTTTTACACGACATCTTCACAAGCTAATATTGTAGTCCACACAAGGAGTTGTACCGCGATAATTAAACCCGCTACATTTAAATTCGTATTCGTGTCAATCATTTTGATTAGCTGTGCTATACTATGGGTACAATAACATTGTCTAGAAACCCAGGTTAATGAATTGACCCTTTAAAAATAATGATAAGTACGTAATTTCCGAGATCAGCTTAATATAAATAAACCATTTCAATTAAAGGTCTCAATCAATTGAAGCCCATTCAAATTTAAAGTCAAATTTTTATTGCATTACCTATATATCATGTTTATAATAGGTGTTGCATAATTGTTTTTTTTAAGGGGGGAAAATCATCGAATGACTGCTCCCGCCTGGGTGAGGCGGGAGGGAGTGTCAGACTCTTACTGACTAAAAACCACCCCGTTCCTTCTCCTGCACGTCGAGCCGGAGCCCCGGTTACCCGTTAGGTTCTCCGCGACTCCGAATCGGCATCGGCCCTATTGGGCCCCATCTGTGGTGGTCTGATGGCTCTTTGAGGCGCGCGCGGAACGCGACGCGCCGTACGCTCGGGTCATAATTAGTCCGTAAGTTAGGTAATGAAAAAATATTAGACACGTATTTTTTTATTTTGTCGTATAATAAAACAATACTTAGATAAAACGAATCAAAGTTTAGGAGTGGGGGCTAAAACGTCATTTCTACGTATAAAATGTACATAGAAGTGACGTCACGCGACATTTCAAATCAATATATCGTCGAAAGTATTCGTTTCTGTAAGAAAATAAAAATACGTGTCTAATGATTTAAAATAATCTACCAGACGGACATTAAAATAAAAATTAGGCATTTATCCTATTATGAAATATTTTTTCACAAAAAAAATATTCCCTTTTCCCATAATAAAAAAGAACTCAAAACAATAACAATCAAAACAACATTATAATCAACTAACATAATCATTGACAGCATCCCATATCACGAAGAAACTCCATCTCAGAATGAATGTACATACACACAACCCGTAATCTAATTTCATTACTCTTGGAGATCGTGAGCAGGTGTAATTTATCAGGTAATCCTTTCCTTGCAAGTAGGCAGTTACTCGCGTATCTAAATCGAGGAGGAAATTCTACCAAAGTTGTGCAATAAATTTTGAGCTCTTGCTGGCAGTGTGCCAGGCTACAAGACCTTCGAGCGACACCTTGCTTGAACCGTTACACTGATCGCGGATTAGCTTTGACAGTTCCATATGAAAGTTGGTATTTATTATACGGGTTTAAGTTCTGAGTGATCCCGTTTTCGGAACGTGGGTTTGAGTTCGGGTTGCTGTGTTAGTGGGTTTTTGTATTGGTGGATTTGGGAGGCTCGTGTTCTGTTGGTCTATATAAATCTCGTAACATAAAAACTATTATCTGGAGTAAATTATTATGTTTTCGGCTTACTCACGTAATAATTTGACGACCATTTCGCGGCCCCGTCGCCGCGTCGCAACAGTGGTCGCAAGTGCGACTGCCGGGCAAGGGGTCTCGGGTTCGATTCCCGGGTCGGGCAAAGTATTACTGGGTTTTTAAAAATTCTCAGCAGTAGCACGGAGTCGGGAATTGTGCCCGGTATATGGCAATAGGCTCACCCACTATTAGGGAACTCATAACATAAATAGTGAAAAGTGGATGGTACATTGTAAAGTGGCATTAAGTGCCGTAATGTGCACTCCTGCCTACCGCACCAGTATAAAAGGCGTAATGTTATGTGTCATTAAAAAACTAGCTATTGCCTCTCAACTTCGTCCGCGAAAAGCAGAATTGATTTGTTACAATTTTACAGAAATTAAAATCATAAAAAAATCGTTTATCTTTTATTAATTTATTTACATTTTATGATTGTGTATTTGCAAAAGAAACTGTAAAACTGCCAATCTCGCTTGACCCCAATCTAATCATGATGTATAACAGCTGTTTATTACTACTACTTCTATGCATTACCATCAATGGGCTCAGAGCGGGTTGCTTCTTCTAGAACTGACATAATTTTTATTTTCGTTGCCATCTTTTTATTGGGAGGCACTTGTTTTAAAGTTCCGACTAAAGACAGCATGAATAACCTGTCCTCATCTTGATTTAGACCCTTATTTTGTTCTCTACGTTTAAAAGATCTGTAAAGGAGTTCTAAAAATGTATCTTCTTCGGTATTTTGTTTTGTTTTCCTTCTTTTCGGAAGACATTCTTCTTGTGCTTCATCATCATATTCGGAAGCTTCAGAATCTATTGATGGCTCGTGATCTTCAAGGTCTGCCGCAACTTCTGGCTCCTTTAAAGTAACAACCTTCTGTAGAAACAGCAGTTGTTTGAAAAATATATATTCGCTTTTACGTGGTCCGCTATTCACCCCGATTTTCAATGATTTTTGCCGGTTCAGTTCTCGTGTGAAGCAGCCGCGGATACCTTTCCACCGTTTTTGTAATGTATAAACTGGAAAAAAAGGTTTTATGTAAATATTGTTATCCTTACTAATATTATAAATCGGAAAGTGACTTTGTTTGTTCCGCTTTCACGCCGTAACTACTAAACCGATTGCTTTGAATTTTTACAGACGTAAAGTTAGAAGTCCGGATTAAATAATAGGGTTTTTATCCCGAAAAAATGTGTTATTCCCGAGGGAAAACAAAAGTATTAGTATAGATGGCGCTGTGTGTATTGGTATATGTCACATAGGCTACTTTTTATCCTTTTGTGACGCGAGCGAAGCCGCGGGTAAAAGCTAGTTCTATATAATTGACAATACGGTTAGTGCAGTGGCTGACCAACCGGCTGCCAAGCAACGTGTCGCGGGTTCGATTCCCGCACAAAGCAACTCTTTGTGTGATCCACAAATTGTTGATCCGGGTCTGGGTGTCATGTGTATGTGAACTTGTATGTTTGTAAACGCACCCACGACACAGGAGAAAATTCTAGTGTGGGGGCCAACGTTATTAAAAAGGAAAAAAAACGCGCCGTTTCAAAAAGAAACTCTCTTTAATCAATAAATCAGCCTTTAATTTATATTTAATCAATAAATCAGCCATTAATTTATATTTAATCAATAAATCAGCCAATTTCATTAATCAGCAGTTTAATAATAATTTTCTCTTTTCTTCTAGTAGGTACGAGTATTGTTGTCAAAATGTTTATTCATGGAACTCTAATACATTACCATAACAAGACAAGTACGTATGTGTACACACGACTGCACAAACAAACTGCATATATGATAACCAGTGTAAACTGACCTTAGAATGTGTGAAAAGATCTTACAGAGCGAGACTACGATAAACTGGTCACATATAGCTATACGAAAATGGCTCGATGTACATACGGCTAGACATCGAGCTTTACATAACCAGTATAAACTGAACGTTAAATGTGCGGAAAGGTGGTGCGACGCGATACCAGGATAAACTGGTTTTGTATAGATTGATGTGTGGCCGTGTGTACTTGTGTATGTGTGTGTGTTCAAAATAAAAGTTAATAACTGTATCAACACTAACTTACTTAGGTTATATTTTTCTTGCTTTGTCATCACATCTTTTTCTTTAAATATGTCCACTAATTCGTCCCAACATTTACTTTTTAAGTTACGATCGGAATATTCACTTAATGAACTATCCCATAGACAAGGACGGTTTTGAATTTCTATTATAAATTTTTTAGTGTCGAAATTCATTATATTATCAATAACAAACACTATTCCAAGACCAACTGGCGTTAGTTCTGACAGGTAACTGGCGACGGAGTGAGCGAGATGCAGTTTACTCGTCTACAACATAGTGGCAACGTCGCCATGCCGCCAGAGTAGCCACGTACCTATTATGAGCTGTAGATCCGCGCCACGCCTCCAACTTGGCGGCGTTGCCAAACCGTGCGTCGCGTCGCCGCGTATCATACATTTCAATAATAACTGCTTGAATGCCGTTTGGATGCGTAGCTGGTGACGTCATATCGGTGTTCTAATGAGGCATATCTTACCTACTTTACGTAATTCAACTGATTTATTTGTTTATTTAACTATTAAAACGGAACGTATGGATAGTACACAAGTCTTTTATTTTCACAATGTACCTAATAACTATCATACGACCGAAATTATAGACTATAGTGCTACAATTACCCCAGTGCTACTCTAAGCACAACAAATTACTAAAATTTGATTTAAATCTACGTAATTTACGACTATGTTTACATAATAATACGTCTCCAGAGAATATCTCTAACATTATTGCCTAATGTTCCTCGTAAACAACGTTGATACATTCATCGCATAATATACCAGGAAATTGTACTTTATGCATCAAATCCCTTGTTTTGGGGACGCACCGCAAATTCCATTATGTGTTAAAAGCTCCCAAATTGAATTCCTAAGGCAGTGTATTTGTGATCGAACGCTCGGCGATAAGTCTATTCACAATATGCTCGTAAACACGCATCTAAAGAGAATGCTTTGTCTCTTATTTGATAACTAGCTACTTCCGCGCGGTTTCACACGCTCTGCTCAGCTCCTATTGGTCGTAGCGTGATGTTTTATAGCCTATAGCCATCCTCTATAAATGCGCTATTCAACACAAAAAGGATTATTCAAATCAGACTTGTAGTTACGGAGATTAGCGCGTTAAACAAGCAAAAAAACAGACTCTTCCGATTTATATCAATACATAGTATAAAACAAAGTCGCTTTCGCTGTATGTCCGTATGTATGCTTAGATCTTTAAAACTACGCAACGGATTTTGATGCGGTTTTTTTTAATAGATAGAGTGATTCTTAAGGAAGGTTTGTATGTATAATACATGCATATTGCACCCGTGCGAAGCCGGGGCGGGTCGCTAGTAATAGTATAAGATGCTGTTTACGAAATTGAAGCCTCGTTGGCCGAGTGCTCGCAAGTGTGACTCGGGCAAGAGGTTTCGGGTTCTTAGTAGTAGCACGGAGTCTGATATTGTGCCTGTCAATAGGCACACTCCCTACATGGGACTCATAACATAAATAGCTAAAAGTGAGTGTTACATTGTACAGTGGCATTGAGTAATGTGCATCTCTGCCTACCCCTGCGGGGATAAAAGGCGTAATGCTATATTTGCAAAATTGCTTTTATATTTTTAACAGGAACTTGACTGGTTGATGGCGCGTAGATAAGCATGTTAGCGATAATGAGAGCGATTTTTTTGGAAACCACTGAACCAATTTTGATGGGTTTTGCAAAGTCAAAGTCAAAGTCAAAGTCAAAGCATTTATTTCAATTAAACCATAGTTTGGTACTTTTGAAACGTCAACAAATACAAAATAAATAATAGTCTGTCAGTCAGTCCGTCAGTGAAGCTAGGTGAAGCTAGGTGAGCTAGCTAGCTAGTTGCTACACGAGATATTGCTATCTTTATATGTAAGACCTTATTATGTAAACTACCTATGTTTAACAAATAAATGATTCTGATTCTGATTCTGATTCTGATAGGATATGGGAAATTGTAAACATACAACGAAAAGAAATAGGAGAGGATTCCTAAATTGATGGGTAAAAAAAAATAAGTTTATAGAATAGGGTTAATACTTGATAGTCTATTGTTATGAAAATAATTTATACACAAGCACTTTTTCCAGTAGGTATCTTTTGCAAATTACTAACACATACTGTTCTATCTTTGTGTTCATCTTTGTTCCGTAACTCATTATACACATGTACCTACATAATGTGTGTTGTGCAATGAGATTTGTAAGACAACACATGTTCCAAGACTTACAAGAGAACAGTACAAGCTTATGTCAGTCAACAAGTTAAAACTTGTTAGGACGTACAGAGCTTGCATCTCGTAACATTTTTGACTTGACATTGTTTCAGTGGCTGCATAATTTATGCATGAATCTTCATTTTCTTTATTCACTAGTTATTTCTAGTTTCACTCGGTCTGCTCAGCTCGCAGCAAATAGAGATGTTTTTGATAGACATAGAGATAGAATTACAATATCGAACTCGAGATAAATGGCGAAAATCGAGAAATTGGGAATTTAATTTTTAAATACAATTTTTAGGAGCAGGTCATAACAGTTATATTCCTTAGAAATCGTACCTATAAAATAGCCAGTTCTGACTGGTTCAACGAAGCGAACCTACTAGTTAAGTTTACTGAGAATTTCAAATCGAAAGCTTTCGAATTTGCCCGCACATGTGACCACTTTACGAACAAGGCAATCATTAAAATACGTACATTGATTCAGCGCAGGCCTGTTATATTCAAATTAGTAGGAATTTGAATTATACACGGGAACAAATTACTCTTCCAAGTTCGTCAGATAAAGGGTTACATGGTATTATATGTGTCTTTGTTCGTAGAATTGTTTGATTTCCGGGTTAAGAGTTGGAGAGGAGTGAGAAAATTGGAAAGGACTATTAATTAGCTTATGGCACTCTACACAGATAAATAAAATTGGAGTGTCTGTTTGTAATATTAAAATAATCGCTTTTTAATACAAACATATGACTATATACCTTTTAAGTGTGGAAGAGCCATGCTTCGGCACGAATGGGCTGGCTCGACCGGAGTGATACCACAGCCTCACAGAAAACCGACGTGAAGCAATGCTTGCGTTGTGTTTCGTCGTGTGAGTGAGGTTACCGGCGGCCCAATTACCCTCCCCTTCTCCAATCTCCCCAATTTCTGAAACACCAACCATCCTCAAACTCCTAATCCCCAAAAGGCCGGTAACACACTTGTAACGCCTCTGATGTTCCAGGTGTCCATGGGCGACGCCGATTGCTTACCATCAGGTGATCCGTCTGCTCGTTTGCCGGCTAATGCCATAAAAAATACTTAAATTCGATACACATACGAAAAAAAAATATTGTTTTTCTGTTTGTACTGGCTAATCTCTGGATTGGCTGGACCGATTTTGACGAGACTTTTATTGGCAGAGCTGATGTACCAATGAGTAACATAGGCTACTTTTATTTTGGGAAATTAAAACAAAAACAATGTTATGCCCTAAAATTTATATTCTACGTGGACGAGATCGCGGTTAACAACTAGTAGAAGAAAATACATTGTTTAATTAACGCCTGTTTCCTAATGTCTGATTAGGTTTCTGTCATATTCATGAATTGACTATTTTGCTTATCAAATGTGTTAAACGCACCCTAAATCTTACATAAACGAGCCCTCAATCTTCCTTCGACAAAAATTCTATGATTACAATTTGGAATTTTAGAAATAAATATCTTAACCGGCCATTTAAACTGTCAAACACCAAGCGGTCACCGGCGACCGCAACCTATTGTTCTATAATTGTGTCTACAAAACCGGTACTCGACGAGTTAATCTAAAAAAAGATACTATAGCATTTCTTATTGCTTTAACAACAGTTAGGAACAGGGTTTATGTAAAACGATTTCCGCCATCTACTGGTCTAATTACTCTCCCCTTCACAAGAATGCACAATTTCCCTAAACCGAGTTAAAATCCACCTCGCTATAAAAAAAAAACATAAAAAATTGCGTCTGACCTATGAAATATTGGTGTACTTGTATGTCCGGCCGACTACCGAGTGATCTTGTTACGTCTCAATTACTCCCGGCCGGCCGATGGTATCGGATATCCGTGACGTCATACGATATGTCCAATTAACGACCATGCTACTTTTGAGTACCTACTAGATCTGTACGTGTAGTGGTGCAGGTCTGTGCTTGCCAATTAATATGGGATTGAGGCTGTTGTGTTTTTGGAGATTTCTTACTTTTTCATTTTGGTACTCAAAGATGGACAAGCTTAAGTGTGCAAATTGAAATGAGCACGTGGAAGGCACAGATATACTGTGTGGCGTGACTTTAAGTTATACATTTTATTTGGTGAAATATATCTATATAGGCATAAAGCTAAACTAATCTGTCTATATAACCACGGAGAACCTAACGGGTCACCGGGGCTCCGGTTCGAAGTGCAGGAGTAGGAACGGGGTGGTATTTAGTCAGTAAGAGTCTGACACTCCCTCCCGCCTCACCCAGGCGGGAGCAGTCATTCGATGATTTACCCCCCTTAAAAAATCTATCTATGTGCATATGCAAAGATATATCTATGTCTTTAAGTTTATTAGGTATATGTTAGTAGTCTCCAACAACATTAAACTTTAATTCCCAGTCAAAAATCTAAACGTGCATTGCGACTAGTTTAAATAGTTTATAATCATTTAGGGACTCCCTTAAAAAATAGGAATTCCCGCAAACGTAAGCAAGAATAAGAAAACACACAAATGGTGCTATTAATAACCCCAAAACATTACGTAGTCATCCCCTAATTCCCGGTCACCATACAAATTAACGTACAACACATAAAATTACGCATTCGCATAAAATATAACCCCATAATATGCGAGCTACAGGGGAAATTAGCCGTGGAACTGGAATAAACGAGTTGTAACCGGAACGTACCGGTTTAAACCAGATTAAATTGGTTTTAAATGTTCCTCTTTGTGAGATGATGATGACGCCGCGTCCACGGGCCCTTGTTACGTAATGTTTCAGCATTAATTTTGGGTGGAATGTGTTATTTGGGTTGTATAAAAATCATGAATACTCTATGAACTTTATTATAATGTAATGTCGTTATTATAACGCTTGTTTTACCTGTAACGGCAGGTGTACTTCCAGTATTGACTTTTTTGTTCCGGTTGTATTATTTACTAGCGACCCGCCCCGGCTTCGCACGGGTGCAATATGTATATACATACAAACCTTCCT